AGGCTATTAACTAGTCTTGGGATTTTTGCTGCATACAAAAACAAACAAACAAACAAACAAAAAACAACAAACCCAAAAAGCCTACAGCCCTGAAATATACAGTGTATGGGACTTGCACACCATACAGTTAGCTAGCTGCATTACAAGTTTGTCACCACCATTGGGAAGGATAGCATGGTGAGGAAAATGAGGGGGGAGGAATTAAACAAAAGACTCTTTCTTGTTTGATGTAATATTACCATGAGATGGAAAAGTCACGGGTGTTCAAAAAACTCAAATATGCCAAATTTCTTTCCTTATGCCTCACTCTGGAGGGCTAACCAGCTGAAGGACAAAAAGCCAGTCTTCTCACTTTTGTGTTCCCATAAACACACACACACACACACACACACAGACAAGCAAGGTGATTTTCCAAAATATGGAATATGGTTGGGGCACAGACTGCTTCAGTTCAAATCACCTTGAGCACGTTACCTAACTTCTCTGATTCTGAGGTGTTCTCATTTATAAAGTTGGTATGGTAATAGGATTGACTCTTGAGGTTACATGAGTTAACCCATGCAGACACTGGTTCTAATCCCTGGCACATAGTAAGAGCTCAGAAATGTTAGCTATTGTTATTCCTTGCCCTCTGCCTTCTTATCTTTTATGCTCACAGGAAAGATTAACGGGCATGTGTAAAGTTTCAAATTTCAAATTTCATGCATATTCTGTTATTATTTTACCACCTGGACAAGCTCAAAATATCCAATTCTGCCCTTGAAATAAGGAGAACTTTTTATATGCATTAGCTCAAAGAAATCCAAGCCACATGATAGGCTGTACCACAAGCTGGATAAAGATTCAGCATGTGCTTATAAAACTGCATATGCTTATCGGTGTCCTGGCTACACAACACGTGATATAAACCCCCAAAAGCTGAGTTCAGTGTGACCATACTTTTTGAGCTGGTCTCAGTGGAGGTGCTGACAACTGAAAAATTACAGAATGCAATCCTGTTCATAAAGGAAGTAAAATGAGGAAATAACGGAGGTTGGGGGTGGGAGGTGACTGAACATAACCTGTCTTATAGCCATCAGAACTGCACGTTGAGATTAGATCCTCTCAAAGGAATCTTTCAGTTCTAAAGTCCTCTCATTTTTCTAAAATCTTATGAAGGGACTTAGGAACAAAGGCAGGAGAAAGAGGGCAGTAAAGGTATCAGCACATTGTCACGTCTTTTGTCTTTCCACTTATCATGAGTAAAATCTTACCTTTGGAAGTAGTGCTGGATTACTTGGAAAAAGTGCTTCTCTTTAAAAACACTTTAAAAGTGATTCACTACCTCGGCTTAGGCTCAAAATAATATTTCCATATAAAAGAATATGATACAGCTATTTAAAAATATTGTTTACAAGAGGTTTACCATAACATTTTAATATAAGTGTTTTCCCTCATTAACTGAAGGAAAAAAAAAAAAAGGATGCACAATTGGATAGTCTGACCTCAAATATGTAATAAAAACAAAAAACAAAACAATAAAAAAAAAACCCTTAAAACTGCTGACAGCAGCAGTTCTCTCGAATGTAGCAGAACTGGGTGTATTCTTTTTTTTCTTTTTCCTTTCCCCTCATCCCTTGCTTCACTTTGCAGCTTTTTCTAGGAACATATATCACTTAAAAATTTTTCTAAAAAATATGTGTATTGATTTTAGAGAATGAGGAAGGCAGAGAGAGAGAGAGACATCGATGTGAGAGAGAAACATTGATCGGTTACCTCCTGTATGCACCCTGAGTGAGGATTGAACCCACAACCTTTTGATATATGGGAGGATGCTCCAACCAACTGAGCCATACTGGCCAGGGTGAGCATATATCACTTTTACCGAAAGAAAAAAAAAAGTTCGTACATAAGATGATATTTAAAAGGCCCCAACTTATATGAAAACTCCGCCAGGTTTTCAGAGATTGAAGAAGCCAGAATTTTTTGTGTGGTGGTGTAAAACAGCAACTGGCCCCAACTGCTGTTTCCTGCCTCTCATCCAACCAGCCATATACCACAGCGCCTGGCATCTGTCAAATGCCACCAACTCTTGATCACTGGGAAGCATGCAGCTGATCTGTCTTGGGCTGGGTTTTGGTTTTCGCTGCTCATTAGTGCCTCCACTCTGGGGCATGAGGAGCCAAGCTTGAGTCTATCAATGCTTGGCTTTTCTAACAGCTCTGCTGACAAGTCTGGCAAGGGAGAAGCTTGAAGTTTTTGAATAAAGGGATTTGGGGATTATTTGTGTCTTCCAAATCATCTCTATACAGTCCTGAGTCTCTAGGACTCTGCGGGGTCCCAGGGGCTGCATCCAAGAATCTGCACACAAGCTACATGGGAGAGTCTTGAGAATTACTGGACTGTTCTAGGAAGCCTTGGAGGGCCCAAGTCAGCTCACATTATCCCTGGCAACTTCCTCATAAGGGAAGCTGCGGGGGTGGGGGCGGGGGGCAGTGGGAGCTTAATTCCCAGGAGGTTATCATGCCAGTGAGATATTCCCCCAGTCCAATGGTCTGTCTTTTCAGGTTTTGACTCTTCTTTGAGCCTCTAAGACCCTGAACCCACCCCAGGGCCCCCACTGACCCGAATATCAACATGCTTCCCAGTACCCCAGAGAGCCCTCAGGGAGCAGTTGCCCTTGCCGGACAGAGCAAAAAAAAGTCATGAAGAATTGTAGGGCAGTCTCCGAAGTTGCTCCAGGTTTGTATCCCTGCTCTTCCACTGTGTGACCTTGGGCAAATCACCCAGCTTCTCTGGGCTTCAGTTCCCTCATCTGTAAAATGGGAATAGTGTATCTACTTCACAGAGTTCTGGAGAGGGTTGAGTTAGCAAGAACATGCAGAGTGACTGGCACATAGGAAGCACTGTAATAAATGTTAGTAGTCACAAAGCAAACAGAAAATCAACCTGCCTTGTTACTCAAACAAGGCCACAGATGTGGCTTTTGAAGGGGTACCCCTTCCCGCCACTGAGGGAAGTGAGACTTCAGCCAGCCACTTCTTCCTCAGCAGCTTGAAGCTGCAGCTTGGCTCGACCCCTCTGGTGCCACAACATCTCTGAAAACTGGCCAGCCGCACGTGAACTGGTGGGGTGAAAGGACCGGAGGGGCGAACCAGGCCTTCCCCTGGGGAGCTATTTATAGCTAAGTGTTTCTTCACCTTCAATTTTCCATGCAACGGTTTGGTTGGCTCAGCGACAGGGAAACAGGGTTCTTGTCAAAACAGTCATCAAAAATACCCCAAATATGAAGAGATAATTGGTGAGGAGGCCCAGTTTGGATTGATGAGAACTTCTTCTGCCAGGTTAATGGGTCCAATCAGCCTGACCGAGTTGGTGTAGCTACAGATGTCACTGCATGGCACCCAGCAACTTGTGCAGAATGACTGATGGGTGTTTACCTTTCCTGGGGGAAATCAAGCTAACACAACAGGAAAGACAATCAATGTATATTTTAAAAGAATGTGTATACAAACAAACTCCCTCCCATATGTTACTGGGTTTCCTCCAAAGAAAACAGATAAAATCAAATGCCTACCAGGCACTCGGCACTGTGTTAGGCTGAGAGAATTCATGGTCCCCTTCTCAAGATACTTAAAATCAAGTTGGGAAGGCCAGAAAAACACAAGAGAAAAGGTTAGGCATCGAAACAAGTCATTTGTAATGAGCCAAAGGGAAAAAAGAAAAGAAAGAAATGATACAGATAATGAGTTTTTCAAGAGATGAGGGGAAAACATGGTCACTACAGGCTGAGGAGTCATCTGAGATGAGGTGGAGTTTAAGTTAAGCCAAAGCACAGAGACACGGCATTCGGTAAAGCAGAGAAGGAAAGAGAAAGCATCCAGGAAGGGGATACAGTGCAAGCCAAGGTGTGGGAACAGGACTACACAGTGCGCACTTGGAGTAGACCAAGCAAAGCTTTGGCTAGAGTTGGGATAAGTGCACAGAAGACAGAGTTGGAGACCTTCAGAAGAGGAAGGGGTTTTCCAGGTTGTCTAGCACAATCTTATTGTACAGCTGAGGAAATGGGGTCTCAGAGAATTTAGGCAATTTACCTAAAATCACACAGCTAGTTATCAGTGGGAGATCAGCTGGGAAAACAAATCTGTTGATGTTCAATTTAAAATCTGAGCTGATAGTAAATTGACTGGCTACAGACAGGCACAGGAATATCACCTTAGAGTGACAGAAATAGCGCAGTTCCCAACCACGCATGTTGTGGGAGGCCACATGAGGTGTTCAATAAATGCTTGCTGACAGCATTAAGAAGGTAATTGCTATATAATCTCAGGCAAGTTATTAAGCATTTCTGATTTCATTTTCTCCTCCGTCCCATGGCCACTCCCTTAAGTGAATAAAATATCTCAACTTGACCAGTGGTGCATCGGATCAGTGGGAAAATATATTTCTCAGAGATAAAAGTCAAGAGGAGTCTCAAAGGATTTCAGGTCTCTAATCTCTCTGTGATGTGTGTGAGTACAAAGGGCAAAAGACAAACCCCCTCTGTGGGTGGCAAGTGGGCTGAAGTCAAGAAGCACCAGTTTTGTTTTGTTTTGCTTTTATCTGTTTAAGCCCTATAATCTCTCATTTCTTTGAAGTTGTCAAAAATCAGGTGCTTTGCACATTTTCCTTATAAAGAAGACAGAATTGAAAGGTTAAATGTCTCAAGGAGGTGAGTCAGGGATGGGGTAGTGGCCAGACCCCCTTTACCTCGCCCAGGCCCGCATGAGTAAGGAAAGGGAACTATCTTTGCACGAACCAGGAAAGAATGAGGCTGGTGCTTTTTGCATAGCTAGGGAGATTATTAAGTACAGATTTCTAGAAATTTCTTTCAAACTATGTCTGCGGACGGGGGGCACGGAGGAGTTCATAAAGCAGTCGGTATGGTGTTGTGCATAACCCAGAAGCAATAAAAAATAATTAAAAAGCACAAAATTGGATCACTATTAAAACAGACATTAAAGGAGGCACAAAAAACCAACCTTAAGTAACTGGCCATCTCCAGTCCCCAGGAACAGAACAGCTCGGTTCAGTACCACGGTGCCATAAACAGCTGTCAGGTCAGAATGGATCAAGGTAGACGATGCGATTGGTTGGACTTTTTCAAGTTGCTGGTCTTCTTTCTGAAGAGGCACACAAATGCACAAATAAAAACAGATAATTTTTAACAGCGGTAATTCTCATGATGATTAAATGTCACTTGTGCCCATCTGGGAAGGCTCCTACTAGAGCCCCAAATATATTTTCTTAGACAAGATCCCCAGGAACAACGTTTTATCCTTTTTATCTGCAAAATCACCATGCTAGCCCAGCCCATGGAAAGCCATTTGTTTACTACATATTAACATATATTGATTGCCAGCAGTGAGCTAGCCATCCATTTAACACTCCCCCAGCCGATATAGGAAACTGAGTTCCACTTTATTGCCAAGAGAGCCCACTGCTGAATTGGGAGGGAGACAGTCTTACACTTGGCTGTTTGCAGGATTCTGCTGCAATTTGTTTTAGCTAGGGATTGGCTTCTGCGAGGTTAAACAAGCTATTTCCCAAGATGTGAGACAACCATCCCATTGGGTATGATGGCAGAAAGGGCGATTCCAGATTTACAAGAAGGATCCAATGTGAAGCCCAAAGCCAGGGTAATTAATTCAGAGGGTTAAGAGGGAAAGATATGGTCATGGGTAGCAGGAAAGACAGAGCCACAGAACTAAAGAGGAACAGAGCATAAGGGCTGGACCTGGTGCTGATGCTCTTGAAGAGGAAATGAAAAGCATAACCCCCACCCCAAAGGCATTTAAATAGTCTGAGGCTTTGCACACATATAATCACATGCTTGCTCCTGATCATTAAATAAAGCCCCTCTTTAAACCCAGAGCACACAGAGTGTTGACCAAAATGTCTTTTTCTTTCTTGTTTAAAGGCATGAAGTATCTTATGCTGCTTCCTGCCTTCACCCGCAGAGAACTGTGTTTGTTACACAAATCTCTGGAAGATACGGAGCTAGAAAGAGGCCTTGTCATCTGTAGCCACTGAACACAGTGTGATAGCACACTTTATCTGCCAGAGCTCAGTTCCCAACTGTACTGAGGTTTTCAAAGGCACGTTTAAATTTTAGCCAATGAGAGCGCTGGCAAACTTCAGTTAGTGTCACCGCAACTCTCCAAATCGCCCCATTTTGGGAGGGAGGTGGGGAGCAGGGGGGAGGCTAAGACTTATTAACTTCATTATATTATTGCCAACAGTGTTTATGTCTTTCAACTCATGTCATATTAAATAGTCATTATTTTTAAACCCACCAAGTTTCCTTAACATCTACACTGAATGGATCTATGAACTAAATTGGTTTCTGAAGTCTTTAAAAGTGCCATCTATATTTCTTTGTGGAAGTTGCACTGCAAGGAAGAGATAAGCTGGCAAGGATTTCTTCCAATGCCACGACCACTTTTCAAGAAAAAGATCTCATAACCTAGGGAGAAAGTGACTTATTTGCATACAATATCCTATAGTAAACTCAGTTTAAGGAGATGTTCTGTAAGCCCATTAGAGGTTTTTCTTTTCCTGTTAAAAGATACTTTTCACGCAGTTGAAGAAGGTGAGGTCCTGTTCAGTTACAATTGAAGTTAAGAAAAAAAAATGAATGAGGACAAGAGATCACCATTTAGATGCCTTGTGACCATGAGCAGAAAAAGAAAAATCAGATGAACTTTAGATACACACACACACACACACACACACACACACACCTTACTTTAAAATAAAACCAGAATTGTTCAAACTTAACATCCGCCACCTATATCTATTTCTTTTCTTAAATATTTGAGCAGCAGAGAGAGGCTAACTGAGAGAACTAGGCGTCACCTCCCCCTGGGCACCTGGTACATTCTAATACCACTCCTTTGGGTAGGAAACTCCATTCTCCTTCATCTCTTGACACAGAATGAGGAATGGCTGTGGACTGTGGATTATCTACCAAATGGGACAGTGTGCTCCCATGTCTGGTATACAGGAGGTGCTTAATAACTATAGCTGTTCTGATTAGCCAAGAACCATGTCATCACGGGGGGCCTTTGCTGAAGTGGGGTGAGACATTCTGTCTGTGAAAGATTGACACCAAAAAAAGAGGCCACTCAAGGCTGAAAGGGGACAAGACAAAAATTCCTTCCAAATTTTCATCTCAGCCTTTCTAGTGTCCTTCCCTGACTTCTGACTGTTCCTCAATAGTTGCAGTTTTCAAGATCAAGTGCTAAGTCAATAGCATAGTACAGCCATTAAATCAATGGCTGGAGAGCTGGTGGCACAGAACAAAATGCCTGGGACTAGGGGTCAGAGAGATTAGGTTTGCACTGGAGCTTGATTCTCCCCCACTGGGGGATAAGGGCAATTTATTTAACCCTGTTGGAGTCAGGCTTTCTCAGTTGAGAATAAGGCTAATCAAGCCTGATTAGTAAGGTGGTAATGAAGAAGAGACAATAATCACAGTAGTAATAATGACATGCTGGTAAGTTTTAGCTGGTATTATTATTAACAGTAACATTGCGTACATACTTACTGTGTGCTACCTGGAGACTTTTACCATCTCACCTAATAGGAGCAGCGTAGGGTAATGAGCCAGACCTCCTGGGTTTGAATCCTGGCTCTATCACTTTCTAGCTAAGGAATTTGGGGCACATTACTTAACTTCTCTGTGCTTCAGTTTCCTCCTCTATGCAGTAGAAGTGACGGTAACAGCATTCATACCATTTACTTGCTATGCGTACTGGGTGAGTTCGTACACAAGCCTCAGGAAAGCTCAGAACAGCGTCTGGCCCACAGTAACACAGAATCCATGTTTGCTATCATTACCTCATTTAAAAACACAAAGACTGCCTGCCACAGCCATGGCAGTATTCCCACCTTCTTCTTTGCCATAAGAACCATAATTTTGTTCAGGCCGCAATAAGTCGAAGCCTGGGCAAACCATGATTGGGCCAAGCCAAGTGGTAATCCCACTCCCCATTGCCAGATACTTGCTTTCCTACTCCTTGGTGCTAGGGGTGGCAATGGGGCCCAGGTCTGGCCAGTGAGTTACAAGATGTCCGCTGAGGGGCTTTCTGGTAATAAGTTTCCTCCTTATTAAAAGGAAGTTCTTAAGGTGAGCCCGTTGGCCCTCTTCCCTCACCTCCTCCCTTTGAAAACAGTTGTGTGGTGGCCACATGGGCAGTGGTGGCAGCCACTTTGTTTCCATGACAGTCAAGATGGAAGATAAAAACCAACACGCTAAGATTGGTGCAAGGAAATGATAAAAGGCCGTAGGTTCTTGAGGACGTGACTGAGCACAGACTTCCAACCTTTAAACCTTTCACTAAGTTAACAATCGCTGTCAGAGTTTAAGTTGCTCTTGATGAGGTTTTCTGTTACCTGCAACCAAAACAAGTCACAGTGTAAGAAATGAGTCACGGTTTGTTGGACCTGGCACTACGCTCTAGCTCCTCCTCAGCTGTGAGGGACCAGGAGCCGGGTAAGTGCCTGTTCCTCTCACCCTTGAGGACGCCAGCCAGAGTCAGGATTGCGTAGCCAATTACAGTAGTGAGCCTGGAAGAAAATGGGAAAGAGCGGGCTTGGACCTCACAGTACACCCTAAGGGCGGCTGTGGCTGAATGGAAATGGATTCTTTTGTGCTGGAAACACACAGAAATGGACAGGTCCCCATGAATGGAAAAAGGAGGCCTCTGAATGGCTCTGTTATGCTCATTTCAGCAAATGAAAACAAAAGATAGACAGGCCCCAGAGAAGCCTCCTAACAAAAGTGCAGTAAATACCTAGGGAGCCAAGCAGGAAAAAGAAGGAAAAATAGTATAGTTGGTCCCCTGTGTCCAGAGATTATTCTTACTATTTTTTTTTTGTTCTTGTTGCCTATTTTATATCTTGCCCTTCTCTCCCCTTAGAGCATAACTGCTAATGTTGCTCTCAGCCTATTCTGTCTAGTTTATTACGTGTAATTTATTTCTGGATCCCAGCCTCTGCTTGTTCGTCTGTGTGTAACAAGGTTAATGCCTTGTAATGATGCTTTTGCTAGTTCTGCCTTTCATGACAAAATCCAATCTTGATTTAACTCTACACCTTGTCTCCCCTTTGGGCTTTCTTGGCTCCCTCAGAGTTGTCACCCTGCTTCTCCTGCCTGCCATGTCATACCAGAGCGACACACCTACACCTCAGCCTGCTCTGGAAGAGAAACTTTTTTCAGTGTGCAGAGAAAGCTACCTTGTCCCTAAAGATGCTTGGGCTGAAAAAGATAGAGCCTTAGGCCTGATGTACCAAAGTGGAATTGAGGCCGCTGAGAAGGGGTGAGTGCTGTATGTGTGGGGGTGGCGGGCATGGGCGCATGCGTGTGTGAGGGTGTGTGAGTATACAGACGGTGGTGAACCCATCATGAGGGAAACAGCTTGAACTCCTTCATGCCATCTCTCTCTGACAATAGCCACCTTCAGTGTGCACTGCACAACTCCAGGCAGCTCCAGTCCTGTATTCTAGGGTGTGAATGGCGCCCTCTAGAGTTGAGCAACCCCATGACCCAGCCCCTACCATGTAAAAGCTGGCCTGACCCATCCAGGCTCATCCCGGGTGTTCACAGCCATGCTGCAGCTGTTGTGGGACCAGATGGAGGAAATGTGCCCCAAAATGAAGACTCCAGGACTGGGAACCCAGCAGGATGCTCAAAGGGCTCTCTTATTTTGCTTTTTCCTTATGGAGCCAGGGCAAATACTGAGTGCCTATGAAATTCTTACACACGGATAAAATACCTGTTGGGCAGCTAATTTTGTATTCTGCTACTGTTTGGCACGCATACACTTATTTTGAAACAGCTTCTTTATCACTTCCTAAATTACTAACCGAGAAGCTCACTTGCAGGTAGGAAGCCTGGCTAGAAGCCCTATGTCCAAGTTCTGGCCCCTGCTCTGTACCCCTATAAGCTGCTTCCTTTCGGCAAGTTAGGTCCCTGCAACTCGATGATGAAATCTGTAAAATGAACACAATAATACACATGCCCTGTCTATCAGCATTATTGGGAGGCCCAGACGAAATCACATGTGAAAATAATTACAAAAGAATCTTTATTAAGCTAGACAGAGAGATAGAGAACAAT